CTGCATCATCTTTCGAAGATTTGTGGGGCACGTCCGGTCAAATCCCTGCGACCTCGACAGACCCTGGACCGGTGACATTCCGACGCACACCATCAGGTCGGATCGATCGCGTTGTGCCTGACGGCAACGTCAGACCTCGTCGACCCTCGATGCCGACGCGGATGAGCACCTCTGGCGTGACCACCAGAGCCACGACCGGACATGCATCAACACCTTCGACGTCGAGCGTCGGCTCCAGCCGAAGCTCCTTCGCTGGGTCGTCGATGGATCTCAGTCGCTCCTACAGTGGTCATCGTTCTCATCGAAGCAGCGTAGACTACTCCGGCTCTGACATTGGAACACCTCAAACACCTCATAGCGAGTTTGCGCCATCGTCGAAGGGCTCAGTCGATTTCACATCGTCGTACAGTCAAATGAACAAGGTGCCGCTGGCGCCCTTTTTCGTGAGCGCTCCTTCTTACGCGACGCCGGCCTTGAGACTCTCTTGTTGACTTCGGTTCTTATCTTGACAGCCTGTTCCTCCGCAAAATTCATCAGTCATGGAAGCCGCGTACTCGCACGAAGGCATGCCGCATACGCCGAAACATCGACGCAAGGGATCATTAGAGCAGCGAGCTCGAACGGGATCGACAACTTCTCGACGTCCACTTGACACAATCATTGCATCTCCAAAGGGCACTTCGCCTGGTCCGACTCCGCCGATTGCATCTCCATCAATTGCTGGGGGCGCTACGACCTTTGTCACGTTCAAATTATTGCATCCTCAAGCCAATCTCGTCTTGCGAACGACGAGGCACGAATTGACATTGCAAAGTCTGCGAACACAAATCAGGCACAAGTTCTGCTCTGCAGACGTTGTGTTGGAGTCTGAGAGTGCTCACTGGGGTTTGGCATACACGAAAGATCACGCCACCACCGTTGGCAATGGCTCGGGTGAGGCGAGAACTACCAGGTTGATCATCACTGAAGAGGATTTACGAGCTGTTCTTGACGGTGTCACGTCTTCGGATAAGCTCACGTTCAGAGTGGTGTCATGAAGTGGCAAAGAAAGGCTTTTGTTCGTTTGATGGGCTGTGTTTGACGGTAGATGCGTGCTTCATATCAGGTTTGGCAATGTTGTGTTCTCTTTTGTATTTGCAATACACTTGTTGATGTGTCATTTCTAATTTGCTAGCTGTGGATACACTCTATGTCGCCACGATCCAACTGTTATACTGAGCCCGCTGATCCAGCAAGTCTTGTGGAAAAGCTGATAAAGTGAGAAGGTTGCGATACATCTGCGTTGATGAGAAGTAATGGTGGCAACAGCGCTAGCCAGCTATGTCAAATCAGGCTATTTCTGTCCCGTTTGGTTCAGTTTCTTGCACTGCGCTGTTCACTGTGGAATGAAATACCTCAAGAGAGGCTAGTTTGAAGAAGACTGAACTTGCCTTGTCGAAAGTAAAATGATGGCGTCGAGTGCCCGTTTAGCGTCTAGGCGCCACACGACCAGACTTCTCAGAAACACCTAAGATTGCACTCGGTATGCTCCAAAACGCTTTCGGGCTTTTGGGGGGATTCAGTCCTCGATTGCGGCAGCCAATCAAGAGATTACGTTCACCAGAGCGGCGTGAACTTGACTTAACACTGGGTGAAAATGCGGTTACGCAGGAAGTTCCATCTCCTCAACGTGACTGGACCACGCCGAGGAGTTGGAGGCGCTGGTCACGGAAGCGATTTTGAGGAGATCACTAGAGGATATTGTTGCGATTATAAGGCACAAAATAGAGTGTTAGACAATGATGAAGCGCGAAGGGGTTCATTGGAGCCTCTCGTACGATGAAACAGAGCAAGAGTGTACGAAAACTGGAACAAAGTTCCAGTCAAGGCAGTTGATTTTCCTTATTCGGCAGTCAAGATGAATTTGGGTGACGTCACGATTTAATGATGTTGTAGAGTGATGACATCTGAACATCTGGGAGCAGAAGCGACGCCGGGAGAATGTTTGTGGTGGTTTTGTGTGGAGTTTGCGCAGATTCTCATTCTTTTCCTTCAAGTCCTCAGCTAATTTCATTGCTGGTCAAGTGTTACCATCAGTACAGAAACGTTGTATTCAGATACAATCCGGTACCTGTCCGATTCCTCGATACGTCGCCGAATCGGTGACAACAGTCCGCGCATAACCATAGATCACCAATCTAGGCTGAGCTGCACCAGGCAAGGCCTGCACTGGAGTCGGTATCTTGCCAAAAGCAACAACTCGATCCGCCGGCGCGGCACCTGCATAGATGTTTTAGGCGTACATCACAAAATCCCGGCAACGAAATCAGAATTTCCTGTAAATTCAAACTAGCCTGCACAGCGGGTGAAGTGTATCGTTGATACAAAATTGAGCAATCGGGTATATGAGTAGCTATGACTGGTTGAAGTGAACAAGACCAGGCAACGCTCTTCTGAACATGTTCTCCTCATGCTCGATCGGTAGACGGCGTTCTTGAAGCATGATCAGATCAAAACGAGGATGGAGTCGGCTGTTGGAGAGAAAATTGATGAGAGTGCGAGTATAAACAGAGTTTTGATGTTCCGGACTTTGTAGATCACGGACGTGATCGTTAGCTGAGGCACAATTTTAAGAGTGTCGAAGTCAGGAGAGGCTATCCTCTGAGAAGTGTAGTCCAGAGTGCGTCGAGGTCGGTTTGAAGGTGTGAAGTGATGGAAACTTTTTCGCTCACGAGTCGATCCAAAGCGCCATTCCAGTTACGAGGTGCTTGCTTTGTTCCGTACATCGATGCAATCAGCTTGAGTTCGTCGCCTGGTTGTGTCTGCTTGGGCCAGCCTTGCGGAATATTCATGTGCACATCCTCGGTCATCTCGCCGTTGAGAAACGCCGTGTCAAAATCAAACTGTTTCGTACTTCAACCAAGAGAGGCTGCCAATGCTATCACGTAACGAATTGTTGTCATCCTTCCCCCGACGCGAATGTCTCGTTGTAGTCTACGCCTGGACGCTGTGCAAAGCCTGATGCGGCAAGCCGAGGCACGAAATTTCGACGTTGCCGTTGGCTTCTTGTCTGCGTGCAAAGACCCATGTCGATCGAAGTGCTCGTACATCCGCAGGTAGCTTATTTGTTTCGAAGACATGATGTTCGTCCAAAGCATCTAGTTCTTTGTCGATTGTCGCTTGGCGTTGTTCAGACTCGGAAGAGGACGTTGCGTCATTGAAATTCCTCGGCACGCCAGGCTTCGGAACCGTGACCATGGCCGTTACCGAGTCTGTGCCATGCGTTGACGCGTCATTCGTCCTTCGAAACCAGGTGGTGCTTCGAGAATGTTCGATGGATAAAGATCTGCACTTTGTTTGTGTGGATCGCATCCAGTTCGACTAATGTGGTAACCTTGACGCTCAACTGGTTGCTCGACATTGTCTTGCTGTTGTGATTGTGGATGGTCAGCAGGTCCGTCTTGTATCTTCGATGGCGAGTGTTCTTCCATGGATGACAAGTCTTCAAGTCAGCTTTCTTGCTCGAGAGCAGGAAGTTCTTGTTTCCCAAACGTGACATGACGGAATCTGAGAGGGGGCCGAGACATTGGTGGAGAAGAATACGCCGCGCGTTCCATCAACAATCGTACACGGAGGTGTATCCTTGGCCGGTCAAGAGATGAAGGCGTCCTCGAGACACTTCAACACATCTTTGGCTACTGTCGAGCAACCAAGCAAGTTTGACGATTGGTGTTCGGCCGCCTCATCCCCTTTCCTGGGCTCGATGCGCTGGTTCGACCGAATTTATCTCCACAACAAGCTCACCAAGCCCGCGTGCCAGTCATCTTCGTTCATCATGTGTGGATCTTGCGGAACAGTCGACGATTCAACCCAATCCTGGTCGAGGGAGTTGCTACTCCGAACGAGCTGTGGAGAACAGCACAAGACATCGCCTATGATCTTACGAGAGCCTTTATTTGAGTTTTTTTTTTTTTATCTACGAGTTGCTTCATTGCATTGCCACTATCTAGTGTGTGGGTCATCACATATCTACAATCCTACTCTTCTATTCCATTTCATCCTCCCTTCTCGCCGCCTCTCACGATCCCCAAGGTTTTTAGTGGGTAGGCAGCAGAGTTTTATTCGATTCATAATCGAAATGTTTTCCTCTGACTGCTAGTCCCACACTGTTGGTTTACGGCAACCTTCGTGCGTAAAGCTTTTTTTTTTTTTTTATCTACGAGTTGCTTCATTGCATTGCCACTATCTAGACAAACAACTAATCAACCACTATCTAGACAAGCATTTTTTTATCCTTTCTTCTGGTTGATTAGTCGCTTGTCTAGATAGTGGCAATGCAATGAAGCAACTCGTAGATAAAAAAAGTGGCAATGCAATGACGCAACTCGTAGATAAAAAAAAAAAGTCTTCTGCGTCTGGGTGCAAACCGGATTCAGCAGAAGTCATCAAGCAGGGCGGGTTGATGCACTATCGACCCGGTCAGCTCATCCGCGGACCCCGCCGGAATGACCTTTTTTTTTTTTTTTCTTTCAAACCCAGAGCTTTACAAAAATTGACCAGTTTTTTGAAAGCTTTTTTTTGTATCTAATCCCTGAATTACAGCAGCCACATTAAAGCAACTACACTAAACAGAGCGAACAGACTTGACACTGGGCAAAAATGCAGTGACGCAGGAAGATTCATCACCGTAATGTAGTCATGAACCAACAACTGTGGGACTCCAACCGAGCTCAATGCAAACTCGACTGCCTACCCACTAAAACCCTGAAAAATTTGATGAGAAAGAGATTGATGACTTGTCTTGAACTAGAAGTTGCCGAGATTTGAGGTGTTGACCAACACGATCACCACAACAGTTGCTCACAGGCGACTCTTGCGATAATCCTTGCCAATTGACTGTGCGACTTGAGCTAATACATCGTCCGTGACCGGCTCTTCCAAACGGAGACGGTGGAAGCGCCGAAAACTCCGCGGACATAAAAATGAAGTATATATTGTCTGCACGACTTCGCTCGTCACCAGCTTCTATGGCGTAGCTGGTTATCGCATCGGTCTCATATTTAACATATGATCTAGCACTGCTAGAGCAATCCGGGGGTCGCCGGTTCGAGCCCGGCTAGGAGCATTTTTTTTTCTTTCCCTCTTCCCTTCGCCTCGTTCATTCAGTTTCTTTTTCTACGAGCTGTTTCATTGCATTACCACTACTAGACAAGCAACTAATCAACCAGAAGAAAGGGAAAAAAATGCTTTATACGCACGAAGGTTGCCGTACACACAGCCTTGGGCCCTCAAGCTCCGTGGCGCAAAGCCGTGCAAGTCTTTAGTCGTTTGATTGCTTGTCCTGATAGTACAAACGGTGCATTACGAGGAAGCGTCTTTTGCAGATCCCCCCAAAAAACAGGGATTTTCAAAAACAGGAAAACGTTGCAGCGACATTCATGAAGAGACCCAAGGCTGCGGTCAGAGTGTACTTTTCTGTTATTACAAACTTCACGCTGCAATGCATTTGGCGCTGGACGAACAAGATTCGACCAGGAGCAGTGCAAATAATGCATCTGCTTGTGCCGTGAATCAACATGCGAACACCTGCCGGTTGATCTCAACAAAGCAGTACGAACGCTGCCAAAGAGACGAGCGAGCCCAGCCACCGGACTGTATGTGTGCTTGCTCCGCTTTGTGGTTGACCGTTGCCACCTGCACCCAACTGAATATTCTGAGGACAGTCTGGTGCCTCGCGCGTGTCAGATGAATTTGCCGCATAATAAGCGTTCGAAACAGACAAGCAAGTGCCCTGTCGGTCAAGAGGAGAGCGTCAAAGCCTGCCGATTCCCTTCGTCGCCTGGGTACTCACATTCCGAGCGAGCGCGGCAGCAGCCACGACAGGTGGTGATCCGGTCAATGAAAGAAGCGTCTCAAACCCAGTCCGGTTCGTCACATTCATTGTTGACAGGTTGCTCGCCGAGGGTCCCGTCAGAAGCGCCCAAGCTTGAACCTCCGTTGCTCCATTCCACGAAACCGCCACAGCACTCTCATTGACGGCAATGCTTGGCTTCGTCAGAGGGTATCCCTGCCAAGCCTGCTTGTACGCGCGATAGGATTGAACAGAAGAATTGACCGCAAAACGGACATCGTGAATCAAATCTCCATTACTGTCGCAATCACATGTTCGTCAGCGTTGTTCTGGTCATTCGATAGCGTCTCGCTCACGGATTGTACTCAGAATACTGTGGGATGGCGCCCCATCCGACGACGACATTGCCGTTGGACAGGATCTGTTTCTCCGGTCAGCAAAGACACTGGCAGTGCGGGAGCGACTAGCTTACTTGAGTGTCGCCTTGAGAGGGCGCTGTACCATTAAAGCTTGGAAGAAGCGCCCACAAGAGAGACGCTTCCATCGTGTCTGTATCAAGCTCCAGCATGATGGCACGTGCTGTCGGTTCGACATCGCCATCGCCACCTGCAGCGTTGTCAAACAATGACACGTTGAAGACTGATTGGCTTGGATCGGAACGCAGTCTCGCATCGTGCTGATACCAGAACACTGATCCGTCGCCCATAGTAAACGAGGTCGACTTGCCACCAAGTCGCCACATAACCTCGCCCGATTGGCCGTCGATGTAATAAACTGTAGACGGGCCTCGCAACGAAACGATGTAGTTTCCGAGATCATCCTTGTCGACGGAGTTGATGTGGCAGTAGTCCCAAGCATTTTCCTGTGAAGAGCCCTCGTCGCCACTCAGGGAAAAATAAGTCTCTTCGACGGGGACGTGTTCCAACGATCTCCACTCGAACATTAATTCATTGGTGCTCAAGTTGATCTCCTGACTGTGGACGCATTTCAGATGGCGCGAAAACCTCGGTAAGGTATCCGCTCGTGCTCACAACACGCAATCCCACGTCCAGCCATCGCTGGGACCGTTGACGCTGCTGAGATCGGTTTGAAGCAGGCGCCAGCTCTCAACGAGCGCCGTGTTGTTGGGAGTGATGACAAACTGACATGGGCAGCGTCAGTTCGGGTTCAGTGCAAGCATCAACTTGAACCGACCTCGTGGAAATCAGTCTGATCCGCGGTTTGGTTGAGACCATCGACGGTTCGGATCGAGGAGTAGTTTTGCCCAAGGACCTCCCACTGCAATCATTTGTCAGGTCAGCCACGATGCGCACAAGTGAGCTGGTGGAATGCAGACTTACATGCCCATAACCATAACCCCCGCTGTAGAAGGATCCTGCAACATGACGAGTGGGCTTTATATTTAGACCTCGATCGCAATCGCACGGCGAAGTTGCTTGAGCGGGGCACGAGCGCCACCGTTCGCTCGACTCACCATTGAAGAATGTCAAAACAGGCTCTCCGAACAGCGTCTGTACTTTGAAATCCATCGAGTTGCCAAACTCTGCTCCACTCCATACAAGACTGCCTTGATTGTCGAGAATCAAAGGCGCTGGCTGAGCTGCCGCTGTGCCTCTGTAGCCCAAGAACGTATAATTTGTCGACGCTTGCTCGGTCGCTGCGACTAAAATATTGACACGAGGTGGCTGAAACGGCGCCGATGCGAACGCTTGTACAGGTGCCACGCCAAACTCGCCAGAGTTGTATTGCGGGTCGTTCAACGACACGGAATCCGCACAGACTGTGCCAACCAGACCCATGAGGATCGTCAGGCATGCTCGCATACTCCTTGTGCTTCTTGATCCAGGGCGCATGTCCGCTGCACTGCAGTCGCAAGGACAAGAGAGCACCTTGCGTCGTGCGGTTCGCGATCTTGGTTTCGCAGGGCTGCGTGCGCGTGCCGACAATTGTGACTGCGAGGCATTAATTCGGCACGGTCCCATAACAGACAAAACTCACCATGGCTGTAAATCTCCTAAGACAGAGGTCTCGTCCCATTTTCAGAGTAGACGATCGAAATGCAAGTCCATGGTTCTTTCGTCAAGATCACGTGACGTTCATGTTTAGGCTCGCTTCGTCGCCCGAATCATATACTTATTTGACGAAGGCTTGCAGCACTTCGATCAATGGATTGGGCTGCTCTGATGATGTGATCTCTGACCTGCCGGGGCAGAGAACACCAAATATAAACATGGAAAGCTGAGCAGACCAGCGTGATTGGCAATGCGGTCGGCAGACGCAAGTCGACGGCCAGACAGAATCTACAACAAGCAAGACTGCAATGCTGTTCCACAGCGCGTCCCATCACGCAGTCATGTCTTTTCAATCGAGGAATCGGAATCTGGGTCACTTTGATCTTGCACAGGACCTTGCCCGCTCGAGTTGGCGTTCAGACCTTGCTCGTCGCGCAACGAGATGTGCTGCACAGTGTGCCAAGCCGGGTATAGCGCAGCAACAAATAACCCGACATTGACTGCCATGCTCTGCAGCAGAAACCCAGTGTCAATCACTCAAAGCTACAACAGCATACACGTGTGCATGATATGTTTTTACACATGTCAACATCACGGTTGCGCGCCTCGCCACTCACCTTCCACAGTTCCACCTTCGTCGCCGACAAACCAAACGACAACGCCTGAGCGGCAGATTCGGCTGATCGCATGACTCCCACGTAACGAATATGATCCTCGCCCTTTGACGTCATGAAGGACACCACCCAGAACAGCCAATTGTACAACAGCTGCTGAGGCAGATTGTACATTGCGAATGACACCCAGGCTGGAGCCCAGCCAGGCGTCGTCCAGTCATACACGGGCGCCGGTGTCCGTTGGGTGAAATTATACTGATGTTTTTTTTTTGTCAGCGGGGCAGCGGACGTCGCGCTCAAACACGAATTCACGCTCACCGTATTTGCAAAAGTCCAGCTGATTCCGGCAGCGTACCAAGCGAAGATGACCACAAAGCTCCATGTTGCACGTTGGCGCAGAGTCCAGCGTTGCGAATCCAGGAACCACTGGCACACGAAGTCAGTCAAACATTCTGACTCTGTGTCATGACGACAAGAGGTAAGCTTACCCCCAGGATCCAGAACAAAACTTGCGCCATCAACGAGACGACAAGACTGGACAACGCTCTTGCTCTCACCGAAAAGAATGTTGCCAAATAGGTGCCCGTTGCTGCGGGAGCCCACTGGTTCTGAACAAATACGACGCAAAGAACAAGAGTCGGTGGTCGAATCCAAACCTTGAGGGTTTCTTTAATCTCGCCGAAAAAACTTTCGGTTGACCGGATCACAACCTTGGATCCATCATCTCTTTGAACTTTTTCTGGGGGTGATAGCAGACCGTACACGATGAATGGTCCCAGGCATTGAATGGCGATGAAGACGGCGTAGGTGTTGACCGAGATGGAGCCAGTGTTCCCACGATCAACGTTCAACGCAAGATTAATGGCGCCGCCCAGGATCGACCCTAGCAAGTTCAAGATGAGCCAAATTGACAACGAACGAGCCCTTCGATGTGGCTCCGGGTAGGCGAGAGCGATGGCACCTTCTGTCGCCTGTGGCAGACAACGAAAGACAGTCAGAATCAAGAGGCGAGTATAAAGGTTGAGTCTCAGCTGAATGCGCACCCAGAACACTCCAGCACTCAGACCGCAAAGGATTGCACCCAAGATCAAACCCCATTGTGTCCCAAATTTGCTGTTGCAGAATAATCCCGCAGCGTATGGGGCGTACCCAAGGGTGCCGAGAACCAGGGCCAGCTTTGGACCAAGTTTGGCAGTCACGGCAGAGCCCAAGACACAGGTGACTGTCATGATACTGGCAGAATAAAGTGTCAGGCTCTGCAAAATGTGCTGCGGTGCAGCGTGCTCGGGCTCACGCGAAGAGAGAAGCGTTTGCCGCGTTGGCAGTGCGGGGTGTCGCGAGGCCTCCGGCACCGAGGTTGTTCATTGCCCCCCAAATACCGGGACATGTGAACGCTGCAATTCCAAGTACCACAGCTTGAAAGGTAGTGGACCTGAACCAATGCACTCGAGGCAGTGCGGCACGTGGTTCGAGCTCGAAGTCGGACGCCATGGAGGTCGCAGAATTTTGTAAAGGAAAGCAGGATCGAGGCTACCTCACAAACAGTGACAGTGGGTGAAGCAATATCATGTCATCAGATGGTGTGAAATGGCGCAATGCACAGCGTTACATGGCAAAGATACGTTCCGATTCCGAATCGAAGCCTGAA